AGATGTCCCTAAACGTCCCTTAAGATTACTTTTAATGATTCATATAGATACTTACAAAGAAATCATAAAAATCAAGGTAAGATTCTTCTCCCAAAGGTGAACTCTAAGTCTAACTTGAGTGAGTTGTCAAGCGACCACCCATAAAATCCCTTACACACACACTTAAGAGATCCTATAGACTCCCAAAGATAGAATCATTCTCACTAAGTCATCAACACATAGATTATATGACATACTCTTCCCAAAGGCTATCCAAATACCTACTCTAGTAAATCAATAAGATAATGTCCATTGTGACCTCTTATATATTTCTAAGTATTTCTTAACATTACATAAGGTTTAGATCATGTCCACGAAATCAACAAACTTCCTAAGCAGAGTCATCTTCAAGACATCCAAAGATAATACATCAAGAGATCATCCCTTTAGCCCTCTACAAACTTTAGCTAAGGAATCCTTAAGTCACTTTAGAGTGGGTACTCATTTATTTTCGTACTCATTAACATAATTCATTAGTTCATTAGATCATTAAGACCTATACATCACATAAAGACATTCAAATAATGGTCTTCGACAAGATCTAGGAACTACACATATCATCTTAAAAGTCTATTGTACAATGTCTACATAGCATCCCATACCACAACCTAAACTACATAAACTCCCCAAATGCTTTTTGGTATTCAATATCACGAGAATAGGAAATAAGCGACATAATCCATGATATCAAGATATGGAATCTAGTGTTCTATCCTACTCCGATGATGTTTTTTTACTTAACAATAGTAGAAGTTAGACACATCCCATGTAGGCACATGGTTAAGGAATATGAAAAGATTCTTTGTATTCTAGTCTCATACTTAACTAGAAGTACTTCCCATATAATACTTGCTCATGCTACCATTCGTTCTCATAGAGTAATTCATACATTGGGTTCACATAAAAGTGTTCCATAATAAGTTCATAACCCAATCACATTTACCCTACCAAGGGAGGTCCACTATGGCTACCTCACAATGATGACACATGATGACATTCCTAAGGATTAATATTATGCCATTCCAGCCAACTGTCCTTATGTCCATTATTCCTTTATTTTTAAGGTTATTATTACATCTTAGACTTCAACAATCTTAACCTTACCTTAAGTAAAGGTTTGCACATAAGAGACTCTCAAAACATCATCTAAAGTCACATTTCATTAATACATTAAAGTCTAAGAGCTCTAAAACCTTAAATCAAGACATTACATATCCATAACCATATACATATCAAGCAAGAGGTAGAAGACTACTAACACAAGACATCACATACTTAAGTTTTAACATAGAGTACAAGTCGTTCTTGAAACACCTCTTAAAAAACTAACATCTTCAAGTCATCATATATATCCTCTTACATCATTAATATAATCCACAAAGACTCAAAAACTCAAATTTAATAACCAAGACTTAACCTAACACTATACTCATAATGTCAAGTCAAAGTCTAACATGATCACTTAAGGTAACATAACTAGAAAAATACATATATGACTATATAACTTCACATGTAGATAGATAATGTCATGCTTCAGATATTCAAAATACTCAAATAGCAACGTAAATTCAAGTAATTGCCAATAAGTCCATGCTCATAATGTTGCATAAGGTAATGCCGACAAGCCCATGTCAATTACAAGTAAAACACACAACTCCACCCCCATAAGTGCAACATATAAATCACAATAGAATTGAAGTATAATTAATATCAAAATGAATAAATCCGGGAATCACACCTTCATTCCCTTATCAAAACTTCAATTTAATGTTCAATCATCCTATTCGACATCACAAGGCCCTTACCCATGGCCATAAACAACAATTCAAGCAATAATCATTAAATCCATTGAAATGACTATCAATTCTATCTAGGTTTAATAATCTAGGGTTAATCAGATAACAATTGAATATAAATACTATATCATTATAAAGCGCATAAGAAACAACATAACAATTCATTAATACTAGCTTAATATCAAGTAACCCACATTATAGTTAAAAACTAGGGTCAATCCAAATTCATGGGTTCATAGTCAATTTGGATGGAAATCATGAATACAATATCAATTGTATCAGAACTCATTGGTTAGATATCATATATGCAAGAATCCATGGTAGAATCATGAAATTGGATAATTCACTTTAGAAAACTTTGAAAAACATGTTGAGAGTTGGGCTCCTTGATGAAACGAGTTTCAAGGATCAAAATCCATACCTCAAGGATTATAATTCTTCACTTTGATTAAGAATTTAGACAAAAAAAATTCCTCACCAAGCTACCTCTTCAAGTTGGACTTCAATGGAGGTTTTGGGGTATTTTCTAATTATTTTGGGTTTATGATTTTGAAGAATGAGGTCTTCCATGTGATTACCCTTTATAGACTTAAATAAAATACCCAAATAACCCTTAATAAACCTTATATTAATCAATTTAGAAGTGTGGTGAATTTACCAACTCACCCCTCACATGGCAGCAGCCTACGCAGGAAGGAAGTTGTGTGCTTTGCCTGCCCTTGACGGGCCGCCACAGCCACGACAGGGTATCACAATCCTCTGTCATTGGCTACAGTTGCTGGAAAATCTCCTTTACCTCCTAATGGGTAAGTCCCCATCGAAGACATCCTGTGACGAGGCATCACAATAACGATTGGCCATCGACTGGGCCATTGTTTGGGGTTTGCTTGGAAGTGCCATGCCACAATTTTTGTTCCTTCATCAAGGACCTTAGAGTGTCCTTTCGGATAATTTCTGGCAGTTTCAAACCCGAATACGATTCTCTCAAAGTTTAACTCTTGTCACATGAATTTTATCCAAAACAAATACATAAAATTCGATAAAACATGCCTAGACGTACAAGGTCTCTCAAGAAGTATTTTTCGAACACCTTGGACGTTCTTGGTCATTTGACCTCCAAAATTCACGAAGGTTTAAATACTGCCTATATATTCTATATTATCTATACTAAAAAGCTTAAAGTACCCTGAAACATACATACACCCATAGAACCAAATTTTAGAGATTTAGGTGACTTAGTCGTCTAACGTCTTAGTCGTCCTTTGACGTTTGACTTCCAAAAACCCAAATACTTTATCTACTGCCTCTACACCATATATTAAACAAATTTAGGATAATAGAACTTCAATACAAAAATCTTAGTCTCTAGTTAACCTAGGTCATCTTCGGGGTCTTCCAATCTCCCCCACTTCGACAACATTCGTCATCGAATGACACTTGTCAATCTCTGAACATTTCATAGATTAGAGACTCAATCTAGTAGATAATAACCATTCCAAACAACACATAATCACAAGAAAATATCAATTTCACATAGTCAATAGATTCACAACACAACGAAAAACTAGAAAACAATTCTATAACTCATTATGCTACAAAGCTCACATTCTTCATTTCAAATATTAAAAACTCATTTTTACTCAATATCCTACTCATTTACATTAGTTCTAACCACATTAAAATATTTGTGGGCAACCGAATTAATTAGTCATTTTTTCAAAAATATGACAGCTTGCAGTTTTTAAGGAAACAATTAATTTTGAAGCAATTTTTCAAAAATCCACATTTTAAGCAATTCATGATGTAAACATGCAATTATGAAAAATAAGATCTTATAAACACATCTTAAAACATAATCATTACTTCATCAAATACACAATGCAAAATTTAATGAAATTCAATTTCAACCAAGGTCCTAATCATCATGCACAAGAAACACTCTCAAGGACTTCTATCCAATAAACAAACCATAATCCCCCACTTAGAAGGAATTCATATCTTAAAAAAGAAAGAGAACTTACCAACATCATAACAATCTCTTTCTCATCCGTCTTCTCCACTCTAGAACGTTGTGCATAGAAACGCTTCTTTGTCAGAGCATCATTATTTGGACCACTAGGAGCAACTTGCTCAACCTCTCTTCCTCTAGAAGCAATCATATGACTTGCTTAACTTCTCTTCCTGTAAAAGAAAATATAGGACAATCTCTTACACTATGCCCATCTTTGCCACAACAAAAGCGATTCCCGGTACCCAATAGATACTTATCATAATGTTTGTTGCCACAATCTGTAAAGTAGGGTTAGCTTCCTTGATACCAATTCCTTTCTGAACCTTGAACTTAGCACTCATAGATTCTCCTTGATATTTAACGTTCTTCTTAAAGCTAGTTTGCTCTTGATCACTAGCACCACTCCTTTTCAAACTTCTAGCAATCCTGCTAACTTTAGACTCTTCAATTGAATGTTCATACACCATGAGCCTATCTAGGGTCATCTCATCATGATAATAGCGGTATGGAATTCTTTCACCACTATGCCAATACCTCTTTCAAAAAATGACTCATTTCATCTCTTTGATTTGATACAAGAGAAGGGGCATACCTAGAAAAAGTTAAGAATTTCAAAGAGTACTACGGGTCACTCATATTGCCTTGCTGAAGATTGATAACAACCTCCACTTTAATTTCTCTCCTCTCTAAGGGAAAGTACATACTAAGAAAAACATCTTTAAATTATTCTCATATAATAGGACCTAATCCTTCCTTCCTATTATCCTTCCATTGAGTGTACCAAATTTTAGAAACATCCATCAATCGGTACCACGCCAACTCAATCTTCTCCTTAGATGTAACCCCATGGAACTCAAAATTTTGTACACTCCATCAAGAAACCCATGAGGATCCTCATTTACATTAGAGCCAAGAAAGATAGGAGGATTCATCCTCAAAAAATATCTCAACCTAGAGCTCATAGTGATCTCCACAACCCTAATCCTCATATTCAAGATAGTTTTCATACTTAGAGCTAGGGCTCTAGCAATTGAAGCCTCTCAAATATCTCTATTAGACATCTCCGGAACCTGAATACCTCCTTCCACATAAGGAATAAGTTCACCTTCGGGAGTCACTTGGGCATCTTGAGCACCTTTAACTCCTTTCCCACCTTAAGGAACTTGCTCAACTTGAGGGGGAACCTCCTCATTCACGCTCTCCTCTTCCAACCTTCTCGCTAACATTCTTCTAGTGTTCATCTCCTAGAAAATACAAGGAAGATCATAAGAAGGATAATCATAACATTTACTCTACGGCATGACATAAGAGTAGAAACGAAGGGATACTCTATCATCCTATAGCCTTTCCCCCCATCCATGTGTTGCGACTGGAACCGCTGGTGAAGACTCTACTAGACGTGACTTGATGACACTTCTTGATTCCTAATACTACTTTAACCATCCTATGCTCCAATACAAAGACTTTTCACAACAAGAAAACATACCCTAGATGTCACGTTACAATCTTGGGTTGTAACAGGCGTCATCAAATTCTTGGAGTTCTTCGACAAGCCTCTTTTATATCATTCATTTCATATACATAGTGAAAAATAGTGCAGAATTAAAACTTTTCAAAAAACATAATATAGTCATAAAAATCTATTTCATATAACTCTAATAGGAAATATTTTGTCAATCTCATCATCTTAAGACAAAAGAATACTTGGGACACGGTCCATACAAAAAAAATGAATATATACATTGTGTATTACAATACTTCAAGAATAAACATAAATGAAACATATATGCCCTCGAGTCAACTGAGGACATTCTTCAACTTCTCTTGAACTATCTTCTAAGTCCAAGTCTTCACTTCCCAAAAATTCTCATGTACAACAACTATATATATAGATAAAATCATTGAATTAGTACAATCACATGTACTATGTACTATATGCATAAAAATCATGAAAATAGATTTTAATGAAAATATGCATCTTTTTATTTGAAAATCATACTATAATCATAATAAAATCATTAATCCATTTATAAACACATAAAATACTTTAAGCATGTAATTTCCCCACTAAAAATAATCCTAAGATTCACTTAAGTCACAAAAAAAGAGACATCCCACACAACTTCTCTAGATGTGCCTAAACGACCCTTAATATTACTTTTAATGATTACCTACATACTTACAAAGTAATCATAAACATCATGGTAAGATTATTCTATCACACGTGAACTCTAAGTCTGACTTCAAAGAGCTCTGAAGTTAACGCCCATACAATCCCTTATACACACACTTAAGAGATCCTATAAACTCCCTAAGATAGAATTATTCTCTCTAAATCATCAACACATAGATGATATGAAATTCTCTTCCCAAAGTCTATCAAAAGACATACTTATGTAATTCAAAAAGATAACGTCCATAGTGACCTCCTCAAGATTACTTAAATAATAATGAAGACTACCTAAGTCTTAGATCATGTCTACAAAATCAACCAACTTCCTTAACTAGAGTCTTCCTTAAGACATCAAAAGATAAGACATGAAGAGATCATCCTTTTTGCCATCTTCACACTCTAGCTAAAGAATCCTTAAATCACTTTAGATTAGGTACTCATTTATTTACATACTCCTAAAATAAGTTATTAATTCATTATTTCATTAAGACTCATACATCACATGAAGGACATTCAAATAATGGTCTTGGACAATACATAGGAACTCCACATGACATCTTCAATGTCTATTGTTTGATGTCTAGATAGTGTACCATAACACCACCTAAACTTCTCAAATGCTAATAGGTATTCCATATGATGGGAATAGGAAATAAGTGACATATACAATGATAGCAAGACATGGAATCTTGAGTTCCATCCTACTGCGATGAGATTGTTCTACTTGCCAATTGTATAAGTTAGACACATCCCATGAACGCACATGGTTAAGGAATATGAAGGGCTTCTTTGTGTTCTAGTCTCATATTTAACTAGAACTACTTCCCTTACCATACTCACTCGTGCTATTGTTCGTTCTCATAGAGTAATTCATACATTATGTTCACATAAAAGGGTTCCATAACATGTTCATAACCCAAGCATATTTACCCTACCAAGGAAGGTCCACTAGTGCTACCTCACAATGGAGAAATGAAGCTCATGATGACTTTAATAAGTATTAATATGATGTCGTTCTAGAAAAGTTACGTTAAGCCTGTCATTATTTACATTGAATGAAACCATTACGTATTACTCTTCAACAATCTTAACCTTACCCTTAAGTTAAGGTTTGCAAATAAGAGACTCTCATAAAATCATTTAATGTCACATGTCATTCATAAATTCATGACTGAGAGGTATAGAACCCTAAATGAATACATCACATATCAACAACAATATTCATATCAAGCACGAGGTACATGTCAACTAAGACAAGACATCACATATTTCACTTTTAACAAATAATACAAGTCATTCTTGAAACACCTCTAAAACAACCTAAAATATTCAAGTCATAAAATATATCATCTTAATATCATAAATATACTCCACATAGACTCATAAAATCAAATAGGAATAACCAAGACTTAACGTAACAATATACACATAATGAAATGTCAAAGTCTAACATGATCACTTAAGGCAAGGTAAGTATAAAATACATATATGACTATATAACTTACATGTAGATAGATAAAATCATGGTTCACTGACTCTAAATACACAAATAGCCACAAAACATCTAGAATTTTCCAATAAGGCCATGCTCATAATGTTACATAAGGTAACGCCGACAAGGCCACATCAATTGCAAGTAAAAAACATAACACCGCCACCATAAGTGGACAATACAAATCATAATAGAATCAAAGTATAGTTAATATAAAATTAAATAAATCCGAGCAGTATACCTTCATTCAATTATTAACACTTCAATTCAATGCTAAATCGTCCAATTCGACACACAAGGCCCTTACAAATGGCCATAGTAAACAATTCAAGAAATAATCATAAAATTACATGAAATATATATAAATTAAATTTAGGTTTAAAAATCTAGGAGAAATTAGATAACAATTTAATATAATTAATATATCATTAGAAAGCCCATAAGAAACTACATAACAATTCATGAATATTAGCTTAATATCAGGTAACCCATATTATAGTAAAAAACTAAGGTTAATCCAAATTCATGGGTTCATAGGTAATTTGGATTGAAATAATCAAAACAATATAAATTATATGATAAATCATTTTTTATAAATCATAAATGCAAGAACCCATGGTAGAATCATGAAATTGGACAATTTTGTTTAAAAAAATTGAAAAACATGTTGAGAGTTGCGCTCCTTCATGAAAAAAGTTTCAAGGATCAAAATTCATACATTAAGGATGATAATTCTTCACTTTGATGAAGAATTTTTACATAAAAACCCCTCACCAAGCTAGCCTCTTAAAGCTGAACTTCAATGGAGGTTATGGGAATCTTTTAATTATTTTCGGTTTATGATTTTGAAGAATGAGGTCTTCCATGTTATGACCATTTATATGATTAATTATAATACCCAAATATACCTTAAAAAACCTTCCTCTAATAAATTTAGAAGTGGGGTGAATTGGTTACTTGGCAGTAGCCGGTGCAGGAAGACACTTGCGTGCGACGCTTGCCCTTCCCGGGCCGTCACAACAAAAATGAGGCATCACAACCCTCCGTTGTTGGCTACATTTTCTAGAAAGGTTCCTTTCCCTCCATATGGTTAATTACCCTTCGACTACACCCATTAATGGGGCGTCACTTCCACGACTGGCCGTCGACAGCTTCGTCGTTTGGGCTCTACCTTGGACTGCCGTACCAATAGTTTGGGTCTTTACTCAAGGAAAATTAGATGATCCTTATGGATAATTTTACAGACGTTTCCAACCCAAATACAATTTTGTATAAGTTTAGAGCCTCTCACATGAATTTCATCTAAAACAAACTCGTAAAACTCAAAAAAACATGTCGGGATGTGCAAGGTCGACTCAAGGCATATCTTTCAAACACTTTGGACGTTCTGGGTCGTTTGACCTCCTAACTTCACAAAAATTTAACTACAGCATATAAATGGTATATTAAATTTATTAAGAAACTTAGAGCACCATTAAACATAAATAAACCCATAGAACCATATTTTAGACACTATGGTTACTTAGTCGTCAAACGTCTCAGTCGTCCCTTGAAGTCTAACTTCAAATAATCCTAATGCTTTGGTTTCTTCCTCCAAACCATTTATTTGAAATGTTTAGGACCTTAGAACATTAATACTAAAATATTAGGCACCATTTAACCTAAGTCATGTTCGGGGTCTTACAGTATGAGATCTAATTCACCTTTTAGACCTCTTTCCTCAAAGGATTTCATCAAAGTATTTTCAAAAGTTGAGTTTTCATGTAAGTCATTCCCAATAAAAAAATTTATTTTATGAATTGATTTTTTATGATTTATTTTGGATATTCTGAATAAATTAACATGTATTCTAACATAATTATGATATATCTTGATGGCTTGGTTTTGTCTGTAGATATGAACCCTTAACCGTTAACCCTAGATGATGATCTTGATATGAATTAGGTCTTATTGGTTCAATTGACTTGTTTATTTGAAGGAATTACAATTAGATGATGTTGTCCCTTCCCACATAGGAAAGGTTGGATCACTAATGTATTCTTGAGATTGGAGACTACAATGGACGTAGCATAAAGAGGGTCCCAACTATATCTCGTAGTTCTTGAACTATGTTTCCCCTATAGAAATACTAGCTAGTGGATCCATGTAGTTGCTATGTTCATGTTTTGGTACTACCTTTGCAAGTAGTCCGCCTCTTTCAGTGTAGGGTTCCATGACACTATATTACACGTTAGCTCATATTTTCTATTTTTGTTAGGGGAAGATGTTCCCAAGAGGTAAATGAACTAACGGAATGAAATCTAACTATGATAAACTAAGGGGTCTATCTTAGTCAACGTTTGGGTATGGGACTCTACCTAAGCATTGCACTAGTTAGCCTTGAGGGTAGTCATAGGACGATGATCTAATTTTTGAATATACTTATTGTGATATATCATATATACATGATGAACATGCACATTTTGATACTATATGATGATTATTTTCACATATGTATATGTGTTGGTCTATATGGTTAAGGTAATATGATATGTACTATTAAATTCTATGGTATGTGAAGTCGGATGTTAGCCATGATTCTTTTTGGAGTTACTTGATTGAGTAAGGTTATGGAGATTTTTCTTGGTCATTGCACTTTTTGACTTGATAGGGGTACCTGGTTAGGTGTCTTGCTTTTGTTATGTTGAAATGTACTCTTATACATGCTTGTTATTCCTATGACTTGATGATAGAATTACTTGGATATATATTCAACTATACGCTATGCATGTTGACTTGACTAGACTTGATGTTGTTAGTCTTGTGATTTACAATCCTTTGACTTATTAACATGCCTTATGTGTTGATATTTTTTTTTATGAATGTGCATAATGGTTTTAAATGAAAAGTGCATACTTTGTGAAATTTCCCTTTTTCTTAGCTTGATTTCAATATATGTGTACATATGGTCTCATACTTAGTACAACTGGCGTACAAAACCCATTTCATCCTTTTCCTCAACATTATTTCTTCCGGTGGTTAAAGTGCTTTAATGAAGACTTGAAGAACGCTTGGATCTCTTATTCATCCATGTAAAATAGGTCCTCACTTTTCGAGGGTGATGCCACTATCTAGCTAATGGAGTTGTTTAGACTTTAATACTATTGTGTTCTTTCCTTTATCATTTAGTAAGAAAAATTGTATAGCCTATTGAATACATTCTTACGTTGATGTATGGGTTATTCCCAAGTTACAAAACTCTTATTAGATGGTTATGGGATGAAACGACTAGTATGGCTAAGTTATATTTTGTATACTATGTGCAATTAAAGTAGAAGACTAAGAAATATTTCTATATGAAGGTTGTATTTATACTCGATATATATACACTATGTCAAGTAGATTTAATGAAAAGTTTTAAAGTTTTCACTAAATTTTACATGTGAATGTAATAATGTAAGCAAAAAGGCTAGTCTTAGTCCTCAGAGAGGATTACGATGCCGGTTATGTATGGAGGGTAAATCGGATATGACAAACTTTAGCATGAACCTAAATATGAACGTAAAAGTCAACGTTAATGTGAACATCAACATAAACATCACCACGAACGTCAACGCGAATATGAATGTCAATGTGAACATCCAGGTGAACATCGACATGAACTTCAACATGAACGTTAATGTAAACGTCAATATGAATATAAAAGCCAATGTGAACGTCAATGTTCACGTGAACACAAACATGAATGTCAATGTGAACGTCAACGTAGACATAAATGTCAATCAACATTAACATCAACATAAATGTAAACGACAATATCAACATAAATGTTAACATAAATGTCAAAATCAACGTGAACATCAACGTCAACGTAAACAATAACATGCTGGTAAAAGCTAATGTTGTCGTCAATGTCAACGTAAATGTTAACGTAACCATCAACGTAAACATGAATGTCAATATGAACGTCAATGTCAACACGAACGTCAAAGTAAATATGAATGTGAATGTCTATGACAATGTAAACGTTAATATCAATGTCAATGTTAAGGTGAACATTAATATCAAAATAAATGTCACCTTTTCTGTGAACGTTAGCATCAATGTCAACGTTAGTATGAACGTCAGCATCAACGTCAACATTAGTGTGAACGTCATCATCAACGTTAATGTCTTCATGAATATCAACGTCTATGTCAACGTAAACCTGAAATATATTTAATCTTAAATACCAACGTGAACGTCAATATAAATATCCGTGCAAACATTAAAGTCAACAAAAACGTCAATCTTAACATGAACATCAATGTTTAAATTAACATCAATATTTTGGTAAACTAAAACCTGATCATCATTACAAATGCAAACGCAAACGTTATCATGAACGTTAACATGAACATCAATGTCAATGTTAACGTTAATGTCAATATCAATGTGAACGTGAATATGAACATCAACATAGCGGTAAAAATCAATGTGAATATCAATGTGAATGTTAATGTCAACATCAACATAAACGTAAACTTCACTGTGAACTTTAACTTCAACGTCAATGTGAACGTCAATGTATACTATGAACATCAATGTAAACTTAAATGTCAACGTGAATGTCAATGTAACTGTAAGCATGAATATTAATATCAATGTAAACATCAACGTGAGCATAAACTTTTATGTGAACGTCTAAGCGAGAGTGTATGTGAATGAAATTGTCAACATAAACATGGACGTCAACGTGAAGGTCAATGTGATTATCAACGTCTATGTAAACGTTAACATCGACATCAATGTAAATGTAAATGTGAATGTGAACGTTAACATAACCGTTAACATCAACATCAACGTAAACGTAAACGTTAGTGTGCACGTCAATGTCAATGTAAATGTCAATGTCAATAAAAACATCTACGTAAACGTGAATATCAACACAAACATAAACATTAGCATCAGCGTGAATATGAACTTCAACGTCAATATCAACGTGAATGTCAACATGAACTTCAATATGAACGTCAATGTCAGTGTAACAGTAAATATGAACATCAACGTCAATTTGAATTTGAACATCACCGTGTACACTAACGTCAACGTAAACGTCAACTTCAACATCAATGTCAAAGTTGACATGATTGTTAACATAAATATAAACATTAACGCGAATGTCAATGTAAAAATAAAAGTCATCATGTTGGTAAACTTGAACATGATCGTTAATATCAATGTGAACATAATTGTCAACGTGAACATCAATGTCAACGTGAACGTCAATATAAATATGAATATCAATATGAACGTTAATGAAACGTCAACATTTTTGTAAATGTCAATGTCAATGACAATGTAAATATAAACATGAACGTTAATGTAAATGTTAAAATGAACGTACACATATATGTGAACATAAACGTCAACGTAAACATCAGCATGAATGTCAATATTGACGTCAATATGAACATAAAAGTGAATATCAACGTAAAGTTTAATGTTAAGTTAATGTGAGCGTAAATGTGAACGTCAACAAAAATATTAATGTCAATGTAAACCCGAAATTCAGCTTGAACATCAACATTATCATCAACGTCATCATGAACGTTAACTTGAACGTGAACGTCACCCTCAATGTCAACAAAAATTTGAATGTAAATGTCAATGTCAACGTTAATGTAAATTTGAACGACAACATGTACACCAACGTCAACATCACTTGATCATCAATGTAACTGTGAACGTAAATATCAACGTCAACATGAACGTGAATGTCAATGTCAATGTGAATGTCAACATAAACAATAAAGTCAATGTAAGCATTGACATAAACATCAATATCAGCATAAACGTTAATATCAACATCGATGTCCATGTAAATATCAACGTGTTAGTAAATGTGAATATGATTGTCAACATCAACATAAACATGAATATAAAATGAACATCAATGTGAACATCAACGTTAATGTGAGCGTTAAGTTTTCAATGTGAACTTTAACGTTAATATCAACATAAATGCCCATGTTAATATGAACATCAATGTCAATATCAACGTAAACGTGAACATCAACATATATGTAAACATCAACATGAATACAACAGTCAATGTCAACGTAAATGTAAGTGTCAACATCAACATTAACGTCAATATAAATTTCAGCATAAACATGAATGCAAACGTTAAAGTTAAAGTCCACATAAACGTTAACATATATGTGAACGTCAACGATAACATTATGTGAATGCTAATTCAAAAGTCAACATGAACGTCAACGTCAAAAAAAATGTTAACATGAACGTCAATGTCAATGTCAACATCAATGTAAATATGAAGATCAACGTCAACTTAAACATCAATGTCAATGTAAAAGACATTGACAATGTCAATATGAACATAAAAGTCAACGTCGACGTCTACATCAACTTCGATTTCAACATAAATGTTAATGTCAACGAGAATGTCAACGTGAACATCAACGTGAAGTAACTGTTAACATCTCGTCAACAACAACATTAATATCAACATGGACCTGAAAGTGTATGTTAATGTCAACATAATCACTAACATAAATATAAATGATAGAACAAACGTGAACGTTAATGCGAATATCGACATGAAATGTGATCTTTAATGTGAACATGAACATGAATGTCAATGTAAACATAAACGTGAACATGAACGTCCGTGTGAATGTTAAGATTAAAATTAACGTGAATGTCAATTTGAACTTAAACATCAATGTCAATGTCAACATCAATGTCAACGTCAGCGTGACTGACAATGTGAACATTAATGTCAATGTTAGCATCAAAATTATGTAAATATCAACATAAACGTAAACACCATCATGAACGTCAATGTCAACGTTCATGTGAACGTTAATGTGAACATCAACATGAACATCAACGTAAATGTTAATTTAAATGTTAATGTGAACGTGAACGTCAATGTGAACCTTAACATGAATGCCAATATGAATGTGAATGCCAACGTGAATTTTAATGTCAATGTCAATGTGAACATCAATGAAAATATGTAAGTCAATGTGAACGTCATAATGAATGTTAACTTAAATATCAATGTAAAGGCTAACGTCATTGTAAATGTCAATGTCAACATTAATATTAAAATCAACATAAATGTGAACATCAACGTGCATGTAATCGTCAGCAAGAACGTCAATGTAAGCAATAGCATAAATGTCAACGTAAACGTTAGTGTGAATGTCATCGTGAACATGAATATTAACATCAATGTGAACGTCAATATAAACCTCAATGTTAATGTCAAAGTTAACGTCAACGTAAATGTGAACCTATATATAAACATCAACGAGAACATAAACGTGAATGTTAACCTAAAAGTCAGTGTGAACGTCAATGTGAACTTCAACGTCTACATGAACTTTAATGGGAACATGAACGTGAACGTCAATGTTAATCTAAATGTGATCAAAAACTTCAATGTCAACTTCATCATATAGGTCAACATGAACGTGAACTTCAATGTCAATATCGACATCAAAGTCAAAGTCAACACCAATGTTAACATCAATGTCAACGTTAATTTTAATGTAAACATCAACTTTAACGTCAACATCATCGTCAATGTCAACATTAACGTGAACATCAATGTTAACATGAATATTAATTTGAACGTCACTGTCAACTTGAATGTCAATGTGAACTTCAACGTGAATATCAATGTCAACATAAACTTCAATGTCAACATGAATTTAAACATAAACGTTTGTTAACGTCTAAGTTAATGTTAATATCAACCTCAATGCCAACATGAACAGCAACATAAAAGGCAATGTAAACATAAAGGTGAACAACAACATGTACAGCAACATCAAAGCAAACTTAATCATCAAAGTAAATGTTAGTGTAAACATCAATGCCAACATGAACGTGAACATCAACGTGAACAAGAATGTGAAAACCAAAGTCAACGTCTCCATAACCGTAAATGTCAATATCAACATGAATATTAATGTCAACTTCAATGTCCACCTAAATATGAATGTGAACGTGAATGTGAATGTCAATAATAACGTCAATGTAAACGTCAACATAAACCTTAAAGTTAATTATAACGTTAACATACACGTAACGGTGAATGTATATATAAATGTCAACGAGAACAATAACATGAATGTCTGCGTGAATGTCAATGTGAACTTCAACATCAACAAGAACGTTAAGATGAATATGAACATAAACATAAACGTTAATGTAAATGTGAACGAGAACGTCAATGTCAATGTCAATATAAAGTTTTACGTGAATGTCAATGTCAATGTCGACGCCAATACCATTGTTAACATCAATGTGAATGTCAATGTAAATGGCAATATCAACTTCAATGTCAACGTACACATCAACCTCAACGTCAACGTCATCGTCAATGTTAACATTAACATGAACGTCAACATGCACGTTAATATCAATGACAACGTAAGAAAATTTTTTAATGTTAGCATGAACATCAATGTCAACGTGAATATCAAAGTATACATAAACCTCAACATGCTGGTGAATGAAAATGTGATCATAAACATCAACGTAAAAATGAAGGTTAAAGTGAACATCAATGTCAACAAGAATGTCACTATAAACTTGACCATGAATGTCAATCTTAACTTAAAAGTCAAGGTGAATATTAATGTCAACGTCAACATAAATGTAAATGTGAATGAGAGAGTGTACACCAATGTCAAAGTCAATATCAATGTCAACTTAATCGTCAAATTAAATGTGAACGTAAACATCAACGCCAATGTGAACGTAAATATGAATGTCAACATCAACATGAACATGAATATCAACGTAAACATGAATATCATCGTAATGTTAAGGTGAACAATAATGTGAACTTCAATATCAACATGAATGTCCATATTAGAATGAATGTCAATGTCAAAATTAGCGTCCACGTAAATGTCAACATATTGGTAAATGTGAATGTGATTGTCAATATCAACATAAACGTGAATGAAAATGTCAACATAAAAATAAATGTCAATGTGAACTTCAATGTCAATGTGAACATGAACGTTCATATGAACTTAAATGTGAACGTCAACGTGAACTTAATGTCAATGTTACTGTCAACGACATTGTCAATGTTAATATGAACATCAACGTAAATATGAATGTCAATGTATACGTAAATGTCAACGTAAGCATAAATGTCATTATTAATGTAAACATCAGCGTTAATGACAACATCAACGACAATGTGAACATCAACATAAAAATGAATATTGATGTTAAATTTAACATCAACATAAATGTGAATGTATATATGAAACTCAACGAGAACATAAATATGGACGTCAATGTGAAAGTCAGTTTAAACGTGAACATCAAAGTGAACATTAATGTCAACATCATCATCAACACAAATATAAATGTCAGCATAAATGAAAATGTCAACTAAATGTCATTGAAAACGTAAACATGAACGTGAATGCTAATGTGATTATCAACATAAATATCAACACGAATGTCAATGTAAACGACAATGTGAACATCAATATCAACGTGAATGTCATTGTTCACGTGTACATCAATAAGCACATCAATGTGTATGTCAACGTAGACTTAAACGTCAATCAATGTATAGATTGACATAAATGTAAATGTCAACATCAATATAAAAGTCGACGACAACGTTAACATTAACGTCAACATTAACCTCAATATGCTGGTAAATGCAAATGTAATCATCAATGTAAACATAAATGTGAATGTAAACATCAACATAAGTAATATCATCTATGTGAACATCAATGTCAACATGAACGTCAATGTAATTTAAACACGAATGTCAATGTCAACATAAACAGGAACGTCAATGTGAATTTAAAGGGAACGTTAACGTCAATGTCAACTTAAAAACGTCACCGTAAACATCAACGTTAAAGTCCTTCTCAACGTCAATGTCAATATGAACATCAATGTGAATGTCAATGTCGACTTGAATGTCAATGTCAACGTCAACATGAATGTCAATGTGAATATCATTACGAACATTAATATGAATTTAAAGGTGAATGTTAATGTAAACGTCAATGTCATCTTCAATGTCAAAATCAATGTGAATGTCAATGTCATCAACATAAACATAAACGTCAGCATGAAACATCATTATAAATATGAGAGTCAATGTCAACATAAACGTTAATGTTTTTGTAAACGAGCATGTGATGTTCAGTATAAACGTAAATTTTAGTTTAAACATAAACGTCAATGTTTACATCAATGTCAATGTTTATATCAACGTCAATATCAACATGAAAGTTAATGTGAACATAAACATAAACGTTAACTTCAATGTGAACATCAACATGAATGTTAATGTCAATGTCAATGTCTACGTTGTTAATATCAACATCAACGTGAATGTTAATGTCAATGTGAATGTCTACGTTGTTAATATCAACATCAACGTCAATGTTAATGTCAAAATCAATATAAATGTCAATATCAATGTAAATGTCAGTTTAAACAAGTCAACATAAATGTCAATGGGAAAGTTAATGTAAATGTAAAATTCAGTGTGAACGTCAATATCAACATCGACATCAAAGGAAAAATCAACATGAAAGTCAACATGACTGTAGACGTGAATGTCAATATCAATTTAAACGTTAATGTGAACATCAACGTGCACGTAAACGTAAACGTGAATGTGAATGTGAACATAAACATCTATGTGAATGTCTATGTGAACGTCAATATGAATGTTAACGCGAACTTTAATGTAAATATCAACGTTAACATCAATATGAATGTTAACGTGAACATCACTGTGAACATGAATGTCAACGTGACCGTGAACGTAAATGTCAACGTCAACATCAA